GAAAATGGAGATTTAGAAAGCTTAGAAACTTGACCCGACTGAAAAGAAGAAATGGTGGACCTTGAAAATGACTTCAGGTTTTCTCACTGCACAGAATATAGTCAAACACGGCTGCAGTTAAATATTTCACCCTTTGTTCTCCCTGCGTGATCTACAATAATAATCTGTTTTGTATTGATATTTACTGACAATTACCTGAAAGAGAAGTTGGGGTGCCTCACTGGGCTGGAAAAAGTTTAGCTAAATCAGAAAGCAGGTATATATATACACACACACACACACACACACACACACACACACACACACATATATAAAAGGCTAAGTTGACTCATGCATGCATGATACATATAAAGCTACCGCTGGTGCCAATCACATGCGTGTGTTTTGATCTGTCATTGTCGATAGTGAATTTGGTTAACACTTCTATTATAGAGAAAGGGCGAATAACGATATTAAAATATTTCTTCTAATTAATTTTATTTCAATGTGCACAAGTCCATGCACCGAACCACTAGTATAGTACACTAGAGGCCCGATGCACGAAATTCATGCAAGAGTAGGCTTTCCTTCTCCCAGCTGCTGGCACCGGCTTCCCTCTGGCACCCGGGACCCAGGCTTCCCTCCAGCCGCTGGCAGGCACCTGGGACCCAGCTTCCCTCTGGCCCCCCCGCAGGCACCCAGGTCCCGGGCTTCCCTCGTAGCCCTGGCTTCGTCTGGAAGGACATAGGTCTAATTAGCATTACACTTTTATTATTATAGATAATAAATGTAACATACAAAATATATTAATTGATGTTTATGTTATTAGTCAATAGTAGGCTACCAATTAAGTATTTGGGGAGTAAAAAGTTATACGTAGCTCTGGTTGGGTAGGGGCTCAGTTGGTTAGAGCATTGTCCTGATATACCAAGGTTGCAGGTTCAACTCCTGGTTAGGGCACATACAAAAAGCAATCAATCAATGCATAAATAAGTAGAACAACAAATAAATTTCTCTCTCTAAAAATCAATAATAATAAAAAGTTATGCACAGATTTTTGACTGCACAGAGGGTCAACCCCACAATGTTCAAGGGTATTTTCTTATATGCCCACAGAAATCCACTAGTCAACATTATATTGACAAGTTATACCGCCTTAAAAAACTGAGCATTCAAAGTAAACAGATGACAGTGATCTGAACTGTGGTACTGGTGATGGAAATGTATACCCAATTCCCTCCCTCAGTTTGAAAGACAACCAACTTATTCCTACTGTTCAATTCTAAGTGCTGACAAAGTAAACTGCGACTGAATTAAAACTGGACTTTTACTATAAAGTCACCTACACGGTGGCAATCTAACACAGATACTACCAATATTTCAGATCTCACGTTACTCATGAAAAAAATTATTTTCAAATAAAAAAATGTCAGGCCCTTTTGGTTAGCGCACTATCCCAATACACCAAGGTTGCTGGTTCGATCCATGATCAGGGCACATACAAGAAGCAACCAAGGCGTGCATACGACAAATTGATACTTCTCTCTTTCTAAAATAAAATAGCCCTGACCGGTTTGGCTCAGTGGATAGAGCATCGGCCTGTGGACTCAAGGGTCCCAGGTTCGATTCCGGTCAAGGACATGTACCTTGGTTGTGGGCACGTCCCCAGTAGGGAGTGTGCAGGAGGCAGCTGATGGATGTTTCTCTCTCATCGATGTTTCTAACTCTCTATCCCTCTCCCTTCCTCTCTGTAAAAAAATCAATAAAATATATATATTAAAAAATAAAATAAAAAATGTCTCCTACAGGATGCTGCTGGGCAGTATTAACACCCATTCACCCTCTCTTCTGACATGCTCAAGGGCCACTCAACTTTCACAGAGATACAGATCCCATTATCCAAGACTAAGTACTACTTGGTTACTCAATTATAATTTTTACCAGAGGCTCAGTGCACGAAATTCATGCACTCAGGGGGGGTCCCTGAGTCTGGCCTGCGCCTCTCATGGTCCGGGAGCCCTCGGGGGATGTCTGACTGACGGCTTAGGCCAGGGGTGGGCAAACTTTTTGACTCGAGGGCCACAATGGGTTCTTAAACTGGACCGGAGGGCCGGAACAAAAGCATGGATGGAGTGTTTGTGTGAACTAATATAAATTCAAAGTAAACATCATTACATAAAAGGGTACGGGTTTTTTTTTTTTTTTTTTAGTTTTATTCACGGCTGGCCTAGAGCCTTCAGAGGGAGCATGGCCCTGCCAGCCATTTGGAGCGGGCCTAAGCCATCAGTCAGACATCCTTAGTGCTGCCAGAGGTGGGAGAGGCTCCCGCCACCACCGCTGCACTCACCAGCTGTGAGCCCGGCTTTTGGCTGAGCGCAGACCATCAAGGGGCAGCTCCTGTGTTGAGCGTCTGCCCCCTGGTGGTCAGTGTGCGTCATAGCGACAGGTCATTCCACCGTTTGGTTGATTTGCATATTAGCCTTTTATTGTATAGGATGTCTATTTCTTTATCCTTTAGGATTTCTTGAAAAACCAGAGCTTACAACTTTCAAACATAGGCAAATATAAATTAAGTGAAAACCAAAGTCCAAACAATTGTGGATGATTATTTTCAAAATAGTAGAGGAACGACTGACTTTAAAAAAACAACACTTTTCTTTTACTTGTATTTTTACGTAAGATTCTGCCTTCCGGGCAAACAACCTATGAATATTGCTCCTATCTACAAAATATCACTACCAAGAATAACTCTCAGGTAATGAGAGCCAATTACAAGTCAGATGTATTCTCAGTAAGTCTTCTTTTTTTTTTGTATAGCAAAGATGGAAATTTATTGAAGAACAAGTACAGACTCCCACATGGGGAGGGGGGAAGAGTCCCCCTCAGTAAATCTTCACAACCCTACAAAATGGCCTTCATCTCCTTCTTACCAATGAGGAAGCTAGAGTTCAAAAAGGTTAAGTTACTTGCCCAGGACCACACAGCTGGCAGCCAAAGAGCCAGGGTCCTACTTCCACCAGATTCATGGCCTATCGTGACTCATAACGCCCATCACTCTTTTTTAAAAAATATATTTTTATTGATTTCAGAGAGGAAGGGAGAGGGAGAGAGAGAGAAACATCAATGCTGAGAGAGAATCGTGGATCGGCTGCCTCCTGCACGCCCCACACTGGGGATCGCGCCGGCAACCAGGGCCTGTGCCCTGACCGGGAATCCAACCGTGACGCCCTGGCTCATAGGTCGATGCTCAGCGGCTGAGCCACTGGCCAGGCCCCGTCACTCTTACAGAGTTACCTCCAGAGTCACAACAAAAAAGCACGCTTTTCGCTTCCTCTGGAATTCCTCCCCGGGGTTTGGGCTTAGGGAGGGTTGCGCAGGCTCCGGTTGTGTCCCGTGCACACCCCGACCCGACCGGGGGATCTCAGCCGAGACCCTGCCACACCTGGGATGCCGCTCCAACCAACCGAGCCCCCCCACCCCCGCCCCGCAATTGTAATCTTTCCAAAGTTAAACGTCCCTATTCTACTTGAAAGAGTGCTGACAACCCTCGAAGGGCCAGTGTGTCACTGCCTCGGGCACAGAATTGATGACAACTTCCATTTCCTCAGATGTTAACTACTCCCCCCGACATCCAGACAGAAAAGGAGTGAAACACATCATTTCCCCCGGAGCCAACGGCCTCGACAGCCCCCCGGGGCTAAGGGATCCGGACTGCAGACCTTTCGGCTCCAGGCCCACCGGAGAGGCTTGATGGCGAGTCCGGCGGGGTGTGTTCCAGACACAACATGAGCCCCAGGGGCCACTTACCAACTCGCATCGCCGAGGAAAACGACTCGGCGCCGAAATAGGAACCGACAACTTAGTCTCAAAACCCCGGCTACTGTCTCCTACTGTCACATACGGCAGCTGCTGGCCGCGCGGGGTTCTTACATTTTAACTTAAAAAAAATTAAATAAGATTTGGAACTTGGTTTTCCGGTCGCCCCGGCCACAAGTCAAACGCCCGGGGGCCACCGTGGCTGGGGGCTGGCCGCCCGAGCGGCAGGGGGACAGC